ACACGGGGTTCAGCCGGGGAAGGAGGAGAGATTGTGGTAGGTGCTGCGCAAGACTGCATTTACTATAATCTAAATCCCTCGCAGGTCACCGTCCCTCCTCGCCTCGATGTGGAGCACACGGTGGACATCGTCGGATGTGACGGTCGAAATATCGTGTGTGTTACGAGAAACAAAGTTGCTTGTTCTTGGGCATGAATGAAAAGAAAAGACGGTATAGGAAACTATAATTTTTCTTTGTTGATGTTCCAAAAGCAAACAAACTTCGGTCAGCGCATCTCATAGTGCGACAGTCATGTTAAAACGCGTTCACGTATGCAGTCAAGGCGGCATTGTGGATGTGGTAAGGATTCCAAGACCGTCTTGACGGTGGATGAGAGCGGGAGGAATTAGCTCTAGCGTTTGCTCTTCTGTTCATTGAGCTGAACCCGGAGGGCATGGTAGGTCGCAGAAAGCGCAGCCCATCGGCTGATGGAGGTTGCCGCGTGTGTCAGGCCTCGATTGTTTACCTGGCTATGCGGTCGGTTCCTAAACCCAGAATTTCGGCATTCTAGAAGGTAAACGTGGCACAGTGTTCTGCCACCAGAGAAAAAGTTCCATTCTCCGTACTACCCTCATGGGTTCTCAAACACGGGTCTGAAGTCGCTTGCCGGTCTCCCCAAAGTGGTTGACCTCGCGAGAGTTACAGTTTCTAGGGTAGATTAATTGTGTGGTTTCAACTCGTGGCGGAGGGCCTTAGGTTTCATGACCAGATGTCGAATTCTCAGCTCCGGTCGAGAGAGAGAGAGCTCAGCGATCCCATTGGCGCCTCTTGACTAGCTCCCAGGTTTTACCTTCAAAGGTGAAGTACGTCTTCAGACGGAATTTCAGCAGATGACTCCGTTTTACCGTCTTGGCCGTCCTGTCATGCTGACTCTCGAACAGCTCGCTGACCATTTCGACTCCCAGGTCTTGCAAAATCGAAGTAAGGAGATAAGCGACGCCACATGACACCATCACCTTGTATTCGGTGAGTCTCACCCTCTTGAGCCCTATCAGGAACTGAGTCACTGAACAGATCGTCGTGACCGCTTCCGAGATTAGAGACTTCAGGTTTCGGATCAACCATTTAGAGAAATAAAATGTTGGTTCTCTGCTCATAGATGCATTTGGCCGGAGGGGCATCCCGGCTTTGTGCACTTTTGGTAGTCCGTAGACTTGTGCAATTACTTACGGTACTACCCACACAGGTATTAGCTAAAAACCCAGACACGCGTGTTTTGCCGATCATGTGCCGCTGCCTGACGCAGCCGCAGTCCCCCGTGGTGCAGCCTCGTCTGTTGATTTAATGTCCAGTCGTACCGGTTTACTTATTGACTTGCTCGTTTTTATATCGTGGAGGCCCTTGTCTATTTGTGTCACCATCTTTCTTATCGGCCCATCGTTACATGAGATATAGGCCTGTCGGTCCTTTAGTAGGGAATTGGCCATCTGAATGTAGTCTGTCTTATCCTTCACAACTATGGAGCCTCCTTTGTCTGCTGGTAGTATCACAATGCTGGTGTCAGTCGCAGTGCCCTGAGAGCACTCTGTTCAGCTTTGGTAATGACTGCGCGTGGTCTGTGCGTCATCATCAAGGTGATAACCTGCTGTCGAATGAGGTGCAGTGTCTGAGTGAGAAAATTCCGTCACCCTCCATTCCCCCCTCCCCGTCCGCAACAGTCCCTGTGCGCACGCCGACGATGACCTCTAAAGCTAATTCACCACCCCCCATCCTGCGTCTAGACGGTCTAATGATTCCTACCTCCCACCCCTTCCACCCGGCCGCTCTAACTGCATAAACAAATCCGTCTTCACACGACTGTTAACCACCTATAAATACTGTGAGGTGCGATACCGCGTTCACCCCCGACGATGGAAGTTTGTTTGCTTTTGACAGGTCGGAACAGTAAAATCATGGTTCTTGAAATCGCCTTCTCTTCTGTATATATGTATTGGAAAACAGGCATCCCAAGAAATCCATATAAAATAGCATTTAACTGTAAAGAAGATGAAGATCCGATCTCTGGGACAGTGGGTTTATTAGTCTGAGCTTTCGGTCTCGTACAGGAGGCCATCGTCAGAGACTGTGAGCAGGCAACATCAAATGAGCGGTTTTTGTAGTCACGCCATGAAGGGGGGGGGGAGACATGAGTGCAGCGGGTGGTATTCTCGATAAGTTGCGTCCCACGCCGTCTCACGGTGGCGTGACTGCGTGCACCCTTGGCTGGAAATTGGGTCTCGCCCCTTGGCCGTAGGAACGGAGCGCGTGATAGCAGGGGGGTATTTCAACGTGCCTGTTGATAGAGTTGGTGCCAGACACCCAGGCCTCTAACAGTTCACGTCCTGTCTTATTGCTGGCCCGCGCCACTATCCGCGTGCTCGCAAAGTTGAATTCGTGGCCCTCCTCCAGGGTGTGAGTGGCGATCTGAGACAACGGGTCGCCTCTCACACCCTGGAGGAGGGCCACGAATTCAACTTTGCGAGCACGCGGATAGTGGCGCGGGCCAGCAATAAGACAGGACGTGAACTGTTAGAGGCCTGGGTGTCTGGCACCAACTCTATCAACAGGCACGTTGAAATACCCCCCTGCTATCACGCGCTCCGTTCCTACGGCCAAGGGGCGAGACCCAATTTCCAGCCAAGGGTGCACGCAGTCACGCCACCGTGAGACGGCGTGGGACGCAACTTATCGCGAATACCACCCTCTGCACTCATATCTCCCCCCCCCCTTCATGGCGTTACTACAAAAACCGCTCATTTGATGTTGCCTGCTCACAGTCTCTGACGATGGCCTCCTGTACGAGACCGAAAGCTCAGACTAATAAACCCACTGTCCCAGAGATCGGATCTTCATCTTCTTTACAACAAGAACCTGGGACTCGCATATTCGCTTCCATCCGTAGCATTTAACTATTTAGCCGTGTCGAATAGGTGATTCTGCGGTTGACCGAGCTCTGCGATGGTGCGTACCAATTTTATTTCGTCGTCCCCTCGGCATAGCATGCGCTGACTCCCAGTTGCAGTAGACAAATGTGTACGTGACATCTACATCAATTTGCCGATTGATTCATGGGTCATCTGAATGCATTGCTTCCAAGAACATAAATATTCGAAAGCAAAAGTCCTTTGGGAAAGACAAAAAAATTAATTTCGTAAGATATTGGCCCCAAACCGTCAGGTCGATCTCAGACGTGAGACAAGTGTGTAAAACAGTCAAAATTTGAACGTGCGTAAGATCAATACGACGCGTATGTTCATTACTGCAATGAGTCTGGATTCCTTGAAGAGTGTTTTCACACAGACTCGTTTGTGGGCCAACGGGTTGTCGCCGTGAAAACTGGGAAGCTGTGTGCTTTGCGTTGCCTTCCTGTGAACCGCCGTTTCAAGGGCGACTTTTGTTCCTGTCCCTCCCTCGTGAGTCATATATCATGAACGACTGAGTTAAGCAGGTCGCGGAAATCCTGTAACCTATCCTTCTTTAGGACAGCAAACGTGCCGTCTACGTAATGCGGCCAAAATACTCGATAACGCTATGTGAGGACAACGTTTTCTAGCTCCTGTTGCACCACTTAACCAGACTGTTGAGTCCATTGGAGCCCACCTGACATGCTCATAGGCTGATACAGCAAAAGTGAAGTAAGTATTTGGCAGGATACAAACAACCTGATGGGACGATCGAGTTTGAGTGGATACAGAGTCTCACCATACGCCTCTTCAAGTCTCTGTGGCAAGGTTTCATGCTCTAAGTTTGGTAGGATGGATGCAAATAAAGACGTCACATCGATAGTGACAATGAGCACGCTTGATTGAATCCTATGACCACGGAGGTCCTTAAGGAATTGGTTGACCGCACCTACGAAATGGATCATGATTTTAACCTCGCAGCCACCAAGATAAATGTAATTGCTGGAAACATAACAATATGGTAATCGGCAAAATCCAGGGGCTCGGATGACTTATCGATCTGGCGTCGGCGTACAAAGCCTTGTGCATTCGCTCCTTCTGTCGTTGCTAGCAGCTCTGACGCTGGAATACTGTGCGAGTTTGAACGTTTGGAAAAATAAACAAGCCATTTTGGCGCTCAACGGGTCGTCTGCTTTACTTAAACGAGTACAATTTGAGTGATCAGTCTATTAATGAATTTATTACCGGCCCTCTTTGATTGGCGTTGCTGGGTAAGCAATTAAGTCGTAGGCTTTTGGGTTAGCCTGTTAGATTCGGCGAGTGGATGAAATGTTCGGTGGACCATTCTATTATCCCGTAGTATTTTCTCAGAAAACACGTCCTGCAACTTAGGAACACAAAGAATTCCAGAATTGCACATTCCTTTCCATCTGTCGATGAGTTAAGAATGACTTTGCACTGACAACTGAACGCTGTGGACGTCATCATACACGACATTCCAACCGTTGATTCCGACGAGGTCCACCGTGTACTACGTACCAAGTTGCAGCAGGCACGGTGACTCGTGCGTGAATTAGCTTATAAGGATAGTAGACTTGCTCACTCTCACCTCACAGTCAATCTTCATCAGCAAGTTCGTGTTGTCTTATAATTACTATGTTAGTGTAAGTAGGCATTCACGCCTTCATTAGTAGAAAGTCTGCCATGTCAACCGATTCCTGGCACGTACCAATTGACACAGAATGTGTCAAACTGTCTTTGGGGACTTATTCAACGAGACCTCGATGTCCATTCGAATTTAGGAGTTTTTGCTATACTACTTAATACTAATTTTTGGCAACCTGCCGCTTCAAAGTAGGAGAGTTAATCATTACGATCCGCTTGAACAGATCAATATTTTCGTCATGTTAACGGTACCCAAAATGCTCTTTGGAAAATGTTTAGGAGAGAAATTTGGTAAAAGTGAACATATGTTTTAGCATATTAAATATGTATTTATTTGTTGGCATGGTTGTGTATAAAGTGCATAGTCAAAAAACATGTCGTCCAAGAATGTGAAGTGTATTTTATTTTTGTTCCCACCACCTGTAACGCATATTTTACATCAGGAACATCCCGAGATTAAATAAGATGAGACCCGCTGCATCTAGGAGGAGAAATACAGATGAAAACAGATTTTTAAAGTGTCACAGTCAAAATAATTTTATTAATATCGTCAAAAATCCTACATTTATCGGTCTTCAATGGACAAATGGTTTTTGCTTAGAATTAAAGGACTGAAATTTCAAATCACTTGTCATACTCGGGTTAATTCTTCAAACCCAATACGAGAAAAATTTGTTCAGTCAGAATTTTCAGACACTATCGCTGATCAGTCACCTAAGCACCTGCATATCTGCCTAGGGGCGTAAGGGGCAAAACGCCTTGCTTTCACGGTCTGATATAGCATAAAAACAATGAAGCGCTGAAAGACGGTTGACTGGAATGGCTCGTGGTTTTGAAATTCGCTGTCCCTTTCTGGGATAATTTTTTAAAGCTACAGCAGCAATAGACTTGGCTCCTAGCCCTTACAAACCCGTTAAACTCCTAGCCCCCGAACTGACTGTCTCATTCAAAATCTGCGTAGTAGCGACAGGACTGGACGGCACTACAGGAAAAACTATAATATGGAAATAAATCGTTCATAGAAACACTACAGCAAACATATTTAGGCAACTCAATCAAAACCAGGAAAAGAGCATGTGATAAATCAACATTTATAAAAACTATCGCAAAACAGTTTCTTAAGCACACGCATATATGCCTTGGAAGGAAATGCAAACGAAAAAACGTTACAGGAAGGCGCCAAGGGAAAGCTGTTGTTCTTTCAGTAAGACCGAAAACCAGCAATAAATTTTAGGGAAAAAGGCAAAGAAATGGCATTAGAGATGTGACATACACATTGCGAATCCAGCAGCCGAATTTTCTGTCTCATTCAGCATCTCATTGGGGATGACTGGATTGGACGCTGATTCAGTAGAAACTAGAAAATGGAAATCATTCTTTCGATGAAAAACAGCAACTGCCACAATATAAAGCAAGACGTATAAGCACAAAATCACACGTCTCAGTAATAAGCATTGCATCCCAGTCGTGCCATTAATAATTTAATTTTGATTAGGCATTCAGTTGCCCAATGATGTTTCCGTAGGATTCCAACGACAGTCATACTTAGGCAAGTCATTCAAACCAACGCGAGATGGAGTTGTTTAGACAACATTTTTAAACTCTACCACTAAACTGTTTTCTAACCACTTCGTACATACATAAAAAGGTAGCACATGAAAAGCCCGCGCCTTCTTCCTGTGACAAAGTGGCAGATGAAATAAAGTTGGAGAGACAGAAAGAATAAGTTGTTTTTCTTCCAGTAAAACTGTCAAGCTGCAATTATCTTTTGCGGCATGAGGAGCATTGGAATGGCCCTCTAGCTCGGACATACCCACTAAACTTCCAGCCCCCGAATTGTCTGTCTCATACATCTTTTCTTTAGGGATGACTGGATTGGGCGCGGATTCAGTAGAAACTAGAAAATGGAAATCATTCTTTCAAAGAAAAACAGCAACTGCCACAACACAATGCAAGACGTATAAGCACAAAATCACACGTCTCAGTAATAAGCATTGCATCCCAGTCGTGCCATTAATAATTTAATTTTGATTAGGCATTCAGTTGCCCAATGATGTTTCCGTAGGTTTCCAACGACAGTCCTATTTAGGCAAGTCATTCAAACCAACGCGAGATGGAGTTGTTTAGACAACATTTTTAAACTCTACCACTAAACTGTTTTCTAACCACTTCGTACATACATAAAAAGGTAGCACATGAAAAGCCCGCGCCTTCTTCCTGTGACAAAGTGGCAGATGAAATAAAGTTGGAGAGACAGAAAGAATAAGTTGTTTTTCTTCCAGTAAAACTGTCAAGCTGCAATTATCTTTTGCGGCATGAGGAGCATTGGAATGGCCCTCTAGCTCGGACATACCTATTAAACTTCCAGCCCCCGAATTGTCTGTCTCATACATCTTTTCTTTAGGGATGACTGGATTGTGTGCTGAATCAGTAGAAACTATAAAATGGAAATCATTCTTTGGATGAAATCATCAACTGCCACGTGATACGGGAGATTGTTTCGACGCAGTATTTTGCATCTCATTCGTATCTTTAAGTGTTGTACTTTGGTTTTTCATTTAATTGTTTAATAACTTTCACGGGAATCTTTTTTGCTTATTTTTCAATTCGCTGGTCTTATGTAAGCAACTCACACTATATCATTACCTTTTCAGTTTTTTCGTCGGTATTTTTAGACACTAGCACTCATCAGTTTTCTTACAACCTTCGCATATGCCTAAAGACTGAATGCATTATACCCCACCCTTTCATCGTCTGAATATATGCACTAATATGACAAAGTTTGAGGACTACACGTGGGAAAATGTGCTGTTTTTTAAGCATGAATCTCAACCTGCATTAATTATTAGGTGTTAAAATGGAGCATTAAATCTTTTATCTAGTACTGACATGCGCATTAAAACCAATAAATATTCTTCTTAATTTTATGTATACGTCATCGTTTTGGCTTGCTTATAAGTGAGTAGCTTTTTTTTCTATCCTTATTGAATGGATTTATCTTCACATCGCGGATAGTTTCAGGACTGTCGCTGTGTAATACTAATCCGTTCTACTGCGTCTGTTGGTAAATCTCTCATTGTTTTTTTTCTGTATGCAGTTCCTAGCACAATCAATATATAATACTTTACAGTGTTCTTCTAACAGCTGCGTTCAGAATGTTCAAAAGGTAATTCAACAGCTCATAAAATTCACCAGGGATGTCGCAAACTAACCTCTCCAGTCGATAATATAGGTCAGCGCTCTAGTCTTTTCCTTGTTTGTGTAGCAGTAGAAGAAGTTTTTTGACACACCCTTTTTAAAAAAAGTATAACGGAACTCAATACGACCGTCCTCTTTGGTGTGCCCTAAATAATTACAGAAGAACATTATAAAATACCGCTCTTTGGCGTTGTTACTGAACAGGAGGAATTTGTATGGAATAAAAGAAAAGTTTGTTAAAATCGCATTAGTCCGATGCGAATGTGCTTTTTGAATTACCGAATGCATAACTACCTGAGAATCTGTCAGCAGGGAGGCTTAACAGGTGAATTATTTAAATATCAAATTGGCAAATACCAGTTTCGCCTACGAAACTCAAATCTGTGAGACAGACGCCAAAAATAAGAAACCCTAAGGATTTCCAAGGCGCATACGTGTGCCTTCATGACCCTTTTGCTGCTTCGCTAGTTAAAAGACCAGAGACTTCAGCATTAGCTAAGCCCTGTGTAAACGGCACAAATTCTTCGGGGGAACTCATCTTCGTCTTCCATTAGTTGCGCGTAACGACGCTTTCGATTTTATTGTAGTAGTTTTTGCCGAAGTAAAATTTTTTTATAGGTAATCTATTTTGTCCTACTCACTTTCGATTCAGAGTGGACGTGCGCGAATGGCCAGTGTTTTGTTATGGAAACTAAATTAATGATTATTTTGATGTGTCATCTAAGTATGTATAGGGAATAAGAAAGGGAGTAGGCGGGTCACCTACCGCATTTTTTATCCTTTCTTGCGCCCACTGGTCGCAATCCCGAGCAGACAAGCTTATGATCCTCATAGCAACTCATCTTTTAATGCAAACAATAGTTACGTGAGTATTTTCATTTGTTTTCAGATTATTGAAACCAGCAGACGTGCATGCATGACTCACATCCTGTAGGTCCGATTCGTTGCCATTGAAAAACCATTTAATTTGAGCGTATTTTCTATTCGTGCAGATATCCAGCCCTGTACCCTCCTTCGCATGGAAGCCAACTACAAGTAAATGATTTGGTTAGAAATGATTGTTTTCTACACTGGCAAACCGTGCACAGTTTGCAAAAAAGAAGGCTTATTTCAAGGTGTGACATAGGAAAACGTACGGAAGCTCTTATCCCCAGATTTGTGAATTGTTATTGGATAATCGCTTTCCAGCATGACGTAGGAGATTTCCTCAACGTTCGAAAGAGTTAGACTCGTCGCATCATAACCATCGTCTTAAAGGGAAGGGCGAACACAGACATTGCTTGTTTTAATACAGGACATCGTGACGTTTGTGTATTAAGTGCATGCGGTGCAAAAACCCAAAAAGTGTAAGCGCGTTTTTCAAGTCTATGTGCTGATATTAACGTATAGACATCGAGATATATTCCAAAGGGATTTTCAAACAAGGGAAATTAGTTATGGTATGTAAAGATGTAAAATGTTCGTACGTGTAGTGTTGGTACAGACGAAGCCGCCCCCACTGTACGAACACCATCCATTGTCCCGAGCGAATGCCCATAATGTTTCATTTCCAATATATCCCCCCTTTAACATATGCAAGCAATTTTAATTAAATTACTAGCCAAAAAGCTGTGCAAAGCGTGACATGCAATTTACGTCAACAGAGACGTGCCGTAGTAAATCATGATACACAGATTATTTTAAGTAGTTAACGCACCTTATATTTGTTCATTATTGGCACCTCCAGTGTAATGTCCCCGGTGGCATTCCTTGGAATGATCCGTTGGCTCCAAGAGCAAATTTCTTCTCCACGACTGGAATACAAAATTGCTGATGTCACACCCTTGTCATTCATACACTTTCAGTTATTCATCAGTTGTAACATTAAAAGGCCTTATTTCAAACGATTTCGCCTTTATGAAACGCCATTCTTACGCGGATCTCTGCACGCCTGTGATGGAAATGCAATGGTTCCCAGAAAACACACCAATGACAATTCGATGGTAATTTTAAAGGTTTTGCTTGAAGCATTATTGTATTTTCAGAGAACGTGTTTTCGGCAGGGAGAACAATTTATGTTGCTTTTTGGATTTTCTTCACCAATACAACCTACATATTGAGCGACTGAGGTCTGTTTCATATAAAACTCATACTGGGGGGTGTCCGTCGACAAAAAACAACTAATAACAGCTGCAGTTTTATTGTAGAAATATCTATCACAAACGGTGCTGTTAATTGAGAACTCAAAAAGGCAAAGGGAACTGTGGCAGACATAAAATGTGTCACATTTCTTCGTTTTCAAGGGTCGGCATATCGTATTCGCATCGCGGCCATGTGGTTTACCCAACCATACCCATGATATTTAAACGAGTACTTTGACAACTGATTACATAAAAATAAAAAGAGCAAAATCTGACCGCTTGCTAGATATTCTATAAAATTACAAAGGAAACATGTTGGAATCATTATCGCCTGGACAGGCTTCATGGAACGTATTAGACATGCACGTACCCAGTGTAGAAGAGAGAAATAATTGCCGCAAAACTGAAGAGAAGGATGTTTGCCTTCATCTTCTCAGACGCAAACGGCCCCCAGATTCTTCGTATTTTTATACTACGAAGGAACGTATTTTTGCCACCTAAACTTCAGCCTCATTGGTTTACAGCAGAATCTCGGCCTCAGAGATTGCTTTTGTCAAGTATATCCTTGCGTAGAATTTTTAATGCAGTGAAGTGCAGTGAAAATTAAAAAAGTAATCCCTTTGGTGACTTAACAGACGTCAGATGTTCAAAACAATCGGTGGTTCTCGGCGGTCTGATCGCTTAAACATTCCCCCTGCGTTACCTGCTACGACATTGACGATACACCAAATCATTGGCTCACAGACGACACGAGATCACAGTAACATTGTGCAAGGCGCTTTTTATCACACGCTATGCGCAGGTGGACTCAACCTACCTACAGAGTGGGATAACTAAAAAAGAAACAAGTTTAGCACTGCCCACTGTCTGGCTGATATACATGATCCGAATAAATCTGGAAGTCCCCATCTGTTTTTCTTGAGGGTTTTACATATCGAAAAGGCATATTTTGAATGCTGAATGTGATGTAACAACTATTTCGAGTCATTACGAGCGCCGCCGCTTAATAGGCCATATATTAACGAGTATGCATCTGTCGTGATCGAATACGTAGATTTCAGTTCATATAAATATTGTTTGCAGGACATAATCTACCTATAGTTATGCTACACTTTTATTACACTGACCTGACACTTGCCAGTTGTTCGCAAGCGTTTCAGAGAATGATTTTTTTCCTCGAGACTGTTGGAAGAGCGCAAAGCAATTACTCTGGTCCACTCCGTGTAGCCACGCACCTTTAATGACTTGCGATCTATCTATATATTTTGCAGGCTAGATCCCAGTTTGTAGGCAGGAATGGGGAAGCGGACGGCGACCTTAACTTTAATCCTAACCCTAACCCTAACCTTAACCTCACACGTTAACCCTTAATCATAACGAAAACCTTAACTCTAACCCTAACCGAAATCGAATAAGTAACCGTAGTCCTCAGACATAGCCTTAACTGTAAAACCAAACCGTAATACTCAAAGCCTAACCGTAACCCGAATACTTAAGCCTAAAGGCCATAACCCTAACTCGAAAACCTGACACCATTAACCGGCAATAATCAAACACATTCAGCAGACTTGTTTTTAAATAAGTGGTGTGCGTTTAGCTTAAAACTGCCCCCGGGGTTGGATACGTCGTTTAATCGCGGGAATGGCAAGGCGTTGGACCGTCTAACAATCGGCTTCATTTATCGTTTTTGTCACTGGCACGTCGTGGCGGTCCTGCCTGTGGGCAAGAACGCAGTCAAGGATAAACAGTTTGCAACAAGTGTGAAATTTTGTCCTTATGATATAGGTTCTGCCTGCGCGAATATCAACGTGTAATTTCAAGGTGTATTTCTATGTTGTCGGACTTTTATTCATTCCATCATGAATATTTGCAGTCTGTGGACTGTGTAATTAATTAGCACCCTTAGTGTGTACGTTCTTGGACCAATTAAGGCCGACCAATCTAATGGTGAACAGACAGTGTAAAAGGTGGAGCGCATAGATTCTATGACAAAGTTTCATTAAGTTAGCGATAGACACCCGCCCAGACAAGTCAGATGACCATTCGGCAGCCGACCGTTCTTCTTCTCCTCTCCGCCATGAACCTATGATCTATGCTGAGAACTGGTTGCATAGTAAAGACTTCGGTAGTACCGACAGATCCTTCGACATGCTACTTGAATTCATGTTTAACCAGGATTCCCCGCATGCTATTTTTACATCTGACAACTTGCCAAGCGTATGCTTTTGGCATCTAGTTCTGCTCTCTGGCCAGCTGTAAGCCACTGCCACGGCTAGAATTATAGTGTACTACGTACTATATGGCCCAGATGCTTTCCTCAGCACGCAAGAACTGTCCAAGAATTATGCCAAGAGTGAGAGACGGCCGCGTGACATAAAACGAATTTCTGACTGGAGCTTTCAAGTGACAGATATGGTTCATTCTTATCTGAACATCTGCTGACTCGAATTACCTATACACACAGCGGGGGGATACTGGGTGCCTGCCTGACGTAATCTTTGGTAAAATTTTGGTTAGAAGGTGATATGTATAGACAACTATCACGCACGCCGTCTAGCTGAGATCGAAGTAGCTCCTGTTACAGACAAATACATATCGGCCACTGATATCGTCTCACCTAACATAGCCCTGAGCAAACGTAACTACGCCCTGACCTCTAACTTTCAGTATCATTTCGGGATTCGGTACGTAAGCCCTATTATATGTGCTGTTGCCGAGTTTTTCACAGTTGGGTCAAGATGAAGTATTCGAAATCTGTCAAAAACCTATTAAGAACTTGCTTAAATTTCATCAGTGGCACTCTGAAAGGTGGAAGCATATTCCAGTAGCTACAACCTCAGACTTAGCAGTCAAATACCCTTAATTATTAGATCAATTTGAACGTGGTTATTCTTAATAATATAGTGTGATTGTGATTAAATTTACGACCTTCGTTCGGCTTGAGAACTACAAACTGAAGGATTTAATTTAGTTCTTTGGCGGTTGGCCTCAAATATTTTAGTTTATCAAAGTGCTGCGCGTTGCAGTTCGAGTCTCGGATACGCGACAAGATAGGATATATAAACATTAAGCTAAAATCTACAAAATATACTTCGACTCACGATGCTTCAAAATGTTGAAATAAGCATTCGGCAAGATTTTCGTGCGTCAAGTATCTACCACCCCACTCTTCTTCCAGACAGATATGATGACGGTTAAATTTGACGAGAGATTACTGTGCGCATTTCATCCAAAATGCAATAAGCCATCATAAAGGTAGTAGTTATGCTGCGTTTTTAGAACGTGTGCGATACCAGCCTGCCGTCTCGTCCCGTTTGTCGATAAAATGCGGCCACATAATTTGGAAAGTTAAATTCGGGCATCTTGTGTCCACCTAGATATCAGAGGCCCAATGCTTGGCCTATCTGGTAAAATGCTGAACAAAATTCCGAACTATGCTCTGGGTTAGAATGGATTACGTTTTTGGGTTTTGACATTGATTAGCATGCAACAGAATTCCAGGATATTTCAACCATGCCATAATCCCAGTTTGGGAATAAATGAGGCGTTGCAGCACATGACTCCTTAATTATATCTTTTATTCATTCATTTATTTTTTGTTGCCATACGAAATTGCATTTCATTGGATGTCCGTTTTCCAATTCAACTACTATATAAACACATGTGGAAAACGCGCGCAACATATTCCATGTGGAAAACGTTTAGTAGAAAATTTAGTCTTCTTCAAACATCGTGCTTTATAAAGAAATATTTTGTGGTTGGAAAACGTCTGTAATTGTGAGAGTTTGAATGTGCTGGCGTAGGGCAAATGTGACCTGATATTTTTAGTTCAGAAGACAAGTGGAGATCAAATCAGGATAAAGCGAGTAAAATGTGCCGACTGATGAACAATTAAGGCAAATGCAACGTGAACGAGGAGTAGAAAATAAACGCAAAGGCCCACAAGGGTGACGTTCAGGATATGATTATGAGTGCTCCCTCGAACGATCCTGGATGTTCTCAAGCCAGTCGCGCCGGTTTGGATAGCGTTTGATCCCTACTATTATCCTTTGTGCTTTACTAGCCTTTGTATTGTTTGTGCAGGTCAAAAAGCGAGCTGACATATCCTCACATGGTATTACGCATTTCAAGTTAGGGACTTTGCAATCTAATATTATGCACAGGTCCTAGATGTTAGTGTCCGTGTCTTGACGTTTGAGGGTCAGGCCAGGGGTTTCAATCACCATTTTGTCGAATGCGATTAACCACCGTGGACAAACCACTTCATTTGCATTCTACAGGCAGGTAGTATTACAAGATGTTACACTATTATCTGGCAGTGCTTCTAACATATTCCCTTATCTATGTATAAGCCAAAAGTCCAGACAGGATTTTCGAATACAGAGTTTGTTCTCTATCCACGTCAAGGTGGGTTCTTGGGTTTCTTTAAAGGAAGTCCTATAAGGAGTGCTTGGAGACTCACTGGACGATCGAATTCCCAGCATCAACGTACAGAATACGAAACAAAAACAGCCATATGCGTGTATAATCCAACAACTAAATACTTTTGAAATGAAATAAATCATAATTCATAAATTGACTGTCGAATGGGAGGATCCTAACGGAATTCTGTTCTGGCCGCAACTCAGTGGGCTCAGTCCTGGTACAGAGAGTAGTTGAGAAAGTATACATCGCGTGCATCAAATGGTCGTTGAGACTGTCGTTTGATGATATCTTGCACATAATTCAGAGTTCGTCAGGCGGCAGTTTTTGTTAACTGGCTGGCCGCGGTACTGGCAGTGCATTGCCCTTTCTGAAGGCTTACTCATATCGTCACGTTAATCAGCAATTGCAAGAATCATTTCGAATCATCATTGAAGAATAAAAGAGTAAATGTCGTATCAACGGCCAACACTATAGCATTTGACTGTCCTTACGTGGCATTTTCCAACGTACCGGAGATTTCTGAAGCATGTATTCTTTATTAGCAATGCTTTCCAACTAAACTCCGAACAGGCCGCTTGGACGATCCCCATTCAAATCAACTTTGCTACCGTGCGGAGATCAGCAATTAATACACTTCATTCTCCGGCAAACCTTCCTAGCCAAACTGAGGAACCTTCTTCGGTCAATGATTTGTCAGCTTTGCAATACAGTTAGGAGGAGCAGATGTAGTAGGTATTATTTCTAAGCAACGGATAATTGGGTGTCCTCTCCCGATTGTTGCCGACGTGGATTCAATGCACTAAGCCTTTCTCACGATGAGAATCCAAGAGATGGCACCCAAAAAGTCCGTTACCTAGAAATAATACCTTTAACAGTGAACTCAAATGCCTTCAGGCTACATAAGCGGTTGCAGGCCTACTTTCAAGCATTACATGGACTTTCCGCGACGGCCTAACATGGGCTGGCCGAACGAACATGGCCGGAGTTTACATGGACGATGGTCG